GAGGGCGGGTCAGTGAGGGGTCAGAGGTGAGAGGGCGGGTCAGTGAGGGGTCGGAGGTGAGAAGGTGGGTCAGTGAGGTGTCGGTAGAGGACAGGGATGGTGAATGTGGGGTGCTGGGGATATACAGACAGATGCGGGGACAATGTTGAATGTGATGTGACCCCCATTAATGATTCTAACCCCCCCCCCCCCCCCCCCCCGTAGGTCAGAGCTCGGCCGTTTGTCGACGCAAGCTTCACGATGGTCGTTCAGTAACATCAGTAACAGTACTCAGCAATCATACCGCCAGTGCCTCAGGTCAGAGTCTGTCATTCACGCACCTTCCCCCATCCTCCCCCAGCTCCCCAGGCTCCGGGACCCCCAGCAGCAACCCCCAAGTTCCCTGACGCTCAACCCCCAGCTCTGTGACCTCCAACTTCCAGCTCCACATCCCCCAAAACCCACACATCTGTAACTTCCAATCCCTGGCTCAGTGACCACCCCCACCTCTGACTCAGTGATCCCCGACCTTCAGCTCTGTGACCCCTGAACTCTGGCTCAGTGACCCCAGATCCCTCCCTCAGTGACCCCAAATCCCCCGCTCAGTGACCCCTGACCTCCAGCTCTGTGACCCCTGATCCCTGGCTCAGTGACCCCCAACTCCTTACTCATTGACCCCCGACCTCTAGCTCTGTGACCCCTGAACTCTGGTTCAGTGACCCCCGACTCCTGGCTTGGTGACCGCTAACCGCTGACTCAGTGACCTCCGACCCCTGACTCAATGACCACTGACCTCCAACCCTGCGAACCCTGGCTCAGTGACCTTTGATGCCCAGCTCAGTGACCTTGGACCTTGGCTCCTGGTTCAGTCACCCCTGACCCCAGTTCCATCAACCCTTGACCCCCGATCAGTGACCGACCCCCAACCCTGTAAAATACTGCCCCCACCCCCAGGCCCATGGCGTCCTGGACCTGCAGCCACCCCCCGCCCAGCCCACAGAATCCTCCTCCCAGCCCACCCCCTGACGTTGTTCCCATTCCCTTGCTGCTGATCAGTAACCCCCACAAACTACCCTCTTACACAGCACCCCCACCCTCAGCCTCCTCACACTCACCGCCCCTCCCTCACCCACCTCCCCGTCCACTGCAATGGGAGGGGTGATGGTTGGCTTGGAGGGGGTGGAGACAGAAGCTGGAACGTGGCAGGGGTCGGGAGAGGAGGGAGGGGGGACAGGAACATAACTAGGACAGGCAACAAGTCAACATACAGATAATCTGCTGCTTTCTACCCCACAGCTGGACCAGGCACCCCCTCATTCAGAAGAACAGGAAGATGGTGATCACCTGTTTTCTGCTTCTCGTTGTTGGACTGGGTGAGTCTGTGATCCTGGAACAGAGGCCTGGACGCTTCAGGAGGAGAGGGAGAGACATCTGTACACTGACTGGTGTCTCTCAGTCCCCTCTCTCTC